TTATTAGTCACATATATTTTAGATTTTGTCTTATACTTTTTGCTTTTCTGGGTCCTATATAACTAAATAATCAATAAATACCTGTTGTTTGACTGACTGATAAACCACATGATGGGCAATACCAAAGTAGTTTGGTACCTTCATAACTAGTTGGAAGAATGAATGGATGAGTCTGTCTTAGGTCAGGTTTCCTAGAAAAACACTGAAGTGGGAAAGAAAACCAGGTCTTTATGCCCCCACACTGACCAGGATGCAAGCTGCCCTTGGGAAGGGTCTGTGACCCAGGATGAGTACCTACCTCCCTTCAGCCAAGGTCAAGTCCTTGCAAAAGACTCAGCTATGGGTTGTTAGGAGCCAACCACTCTGGGCGGCTGAAGAGTGAGTGTTTCAGCCCTAAAGAAGGGGCCTGGAGGGGTAAACCACAGCATCTGTCCAGAACCCAGAGAAGTCTTTGTCATGCCTGCAGTTTCTTAAAAGTGCTGTGAAGACATTCAGCCCAGAATGTCTTCACGACAAATAGGAAAAGAAAGAAGGTATGTTCTCAGCAGGTAAATGACTTTCAGCATGATAGTAACAATGAAACCCATTTTCCACTTAGCAGTGCCTGCAGCCGAGCATGTTTCTCAAATCAAGCTTTATGAGTTGAGCCAGAGAGCATGAGTGTAAGCTCTGCCCCCTGACTTTTATTTCCAGATCAACAGTGGGTATGATTTACAGCCTCTCCACTTCCATTTATTGACCATTATCACTTTGAATAATGTCATTTTTATGCCGGCTTCTTTCCTACTTTAAACTAGGGATTAACTACAAGGTTTTCCAAAAACAAAAAAACAAAACAAAACAAAAAAAAAAACTATGGAAGGGGCAGCTTTGTGAAAAGGAAAACTAATGAGACCAAGACTCCAGGAAACCTAAGGCTTATTCTCAGTTCTGTCATTTCTCTCTCTCTCTCTCTCTCTCTCTCTCTCTCTCTCTCTCTCTCTCTCTCTCTCCATCCCTGCCTCCCTTAATTTCCCAGAAATAACCACACCTTCCCTATTGTATAGAGAAATGAATAACGTACATACATGAAAACATTTTGGTAAGAATTATAATACTTCTTGAAGCTTTTATCATTGTTAGTAAACTGACCACCATTACTCATGCAAATCATTGTGCATGGAGAACCTATTCAAATCTGTATGCCTCACACTGGAATCTCTATAGGGAATTCTGGAATTTGGGGAATTTTTGATACATAAAGAGAGGAAGGGCAAACCCAGCTAGATGTTCGACCTCTATCTCACTTGGTGATTTGATCAGACATCTAACAAATATTCTTTGAGCATCAACTATGGGCCAAGCCATGGACATACCTGGAAAAAAGCTGCAGGAGACAGCATGGCTGAAAATGAATGATGTGGACTTTGAAGTAAGATTTCAATTCCAGCTTAGGCGACTGTAACCTTCACTTCTCTGAGTCTCAGTGTTTCTTTGCTCGTGAAAGGAGGCATTACCAGAATGGATTGTTGAAAATCAGTGCTGATGGAGTTGTGCACAAGATACCATGGAAACCCACAGGTGGGTACCTGACTCAGTCTTCAGATATCAGGGGAAACCAGTTGGTGGAAATGACATTTGAACTGACTCCCTGAGAATAAGCAGAAATCAGTCAAGCAAAAGGAGAAAAGATAGACAGTCCAAAGAGTTAGCAGTTGCAAAGCCCTGGTGAGAAAGCACTGGAGAAATTGCACAAGTCATTTTATAGAAAGCATGGTGTTCCCAGGGAGCAGGGAGCGGACAGTGGGAAGAAGGATTTTCAGGAACTACTGTAAAGGACACATGGACAAAACCAAGGGAGAGGGTGGAAGCAAGGGAGGGAGGGGGAGAAAATACAGACAACTGTAATCGAACAGCAATAAAGTATTTCTTTTTTAAAAAAGCATGGCGTTCCCAGGACTAAGGGGACAGGGAGCACCTGGTGCGCCCTGCCAGCAAGGCTGGGCTTCATCCAGAGAGCCATGAGAACAGTGGAAGGGCACGCGGCAGAGCCTCACAGGACCTTATTTGTCTGGGGGCTTTTGATTTTTTAATGATCACTCTACCTGCAAAGGAGAAGGGTGGGGCAGTCTCTAGTGGAACACCAAAAGTAGAGACTCAGTGAGCAAGAGACAATGGGCGTAGACCACGGCGGTCAGTGTTCATGTGGAGAGACAGCTGGAGGGGAAGGCAGGAGGTGGGAGAGACAGGGCTGTTTATCAGATGTCGGAGGAGGGAAGGGGAGAAGCCACAGTTCCTCCCAGCGTGCTGGCGTGGATATCCGAGCAGACACCAGACCAGCCCCTGAGGCAGGGAACCCACAAAAGGAGAGGGTCCTTGGGGAACAGGTGGGGAGGTAGGAGATGGTGGTAGAGGCAGAAATTATGAATTCAATATTATCTGTGATGCAGTCTGAGATTCTTGTAGAATAACATTCACTGAGCACCTGTCACACATGTGTTCTATGCTATGCAATATATATGTGTGTGTATATATATGTATATATATATGAGAGATAGAGAGGGGCTCAGTGGATGATTACGAGCACTGTATAGGAACACAGTCATGTCATCCCTGCTATAGTCCTGAAGCACAGGGAGTTCAAAGAGGTTAATCAACTATATTGAATTTTAAGTAATATAAGCACTTAAAAGTAACAGAGATTTGCTAACATGAATGTGAGAGCTGGGTGCATGGAGACAGGAGGCATATTGGGACCAGTGTGAAACTAATGGGAGGCAACACTCTAAATTTCATCTTCAAGAGAGAGATGAGGCTCTCCGCAGGATTTGCTATGGCATAGAGGGAGTGATTTATTTTAGGTGAGAGATTTAAAGACTTTTAAAAGATTTTTATTGAATTTACTGGGGTGACACGGGCTAATAAAATTATGAGTCTCGATAAACGTATTTACATGCAAGTAGAAATAAGCCTTTACTGAGGTGGGGTTGAAAACATCAACCCCACCTCAGTAAAGGAGAGCAGAAAACAACTGGTGGGACGGAGTCACTGAGGACGCAAGTGGCCGGGTAGAAGCAGGTGGAGAAAATAACCGGAGATAGGAAGAAGGAAAACAGTGAGGTTGGGCGTGGACACGTATCAGGCTACATGAGGGTCTGATATTAAAGGTATTTCCTGTAATGGCTTCTATTTTCTGGGTGAAATGGGAGATGAGATTATCTGCTGACAGTGAAGTGAAGAGAGCCAGGAACAGCCTCGAGGCAGAGAATATCTGTGACAGTCACTTTGGAAAATGGCAGTGAGATCTCACCAGAGAGCAGCGAAGGCCTACCGTGTACTAAGGAGGGCTCGAATGAGGTCAAGGGCCACGGATCTGGCGGGAGGCTTAGCTATGATTTTGTGATTTCCTCCAGTCTCGTTCAGTGGGGGCAGAAAAAGCAGAAACATTGGTAGTTGGGATTAACAAATCTGAGGACAAGAAGGGCAAAGGAACAAGGAATTTATGGTGTTAGGAAAGGAATGATTGAAGAAATGAACAATAATATCCAGATGGACTCCAGGTGGAGTGGGCTTTGGCGAGGGGACAAAATATGAGGACCAAGGAACCTCAAGGAGTGGCTAATTGGGAGTAAGAGGGAGGTCTGGGGTGATAAGAGGTTAAGATTCTAGAGGCAGAGAAGTTCTAAGTGATTTGATGATCCTGAATTTGACCTTGTGTCACAGATGTGTGTTGTAAGTCTGTCCATCTTCTCTTTCTTTGGGGAACTTTCCATCTGTCATCACATGTAGTTCTGGTTGAACAGCTCTTCCTGGAGCCTCACTCTGCCCCCCCCCACACACACACACGGGTTGGTTGGCATGGGATACAGACGGATGAACTCATGCCCTAGCTACAGGGCTGGGTTCAGGGTTGGGTATATGACCAAGAAGAGATCAGACTCTGAGATTTCTTCCACAGATGTTGGAGGCAGCAAGACTCTTTCTTGGCTCATGAGTTGGAACGATCAGGTAGCTGCCTGTGACCATCTTTCCTGGCAGCAAGGAGGAACCTGTCTGTAGAAGGTGACAGTGAGACCAACATGCAAAGGCAAGCCAATCAGGATAGTGAAAGATGGACAGGAGCACAAAGAACCCAGATCATTCTGAACCCCTGGATCTAGCCATGCTGAAACTAGTCTACCCCTGAATCTTTCAAATGATGCCCCGCCCCCCAATTCTCTCTTGGGCTTAAGGTAGTCTAAATTGGATTTCTGTAAAATACAGTCTAGGGTGAGTGGCTGAAACAGAAGGACAGAATGGTATGAGAGCTGAGAAGGCCAAGACACTAAAGAAAGAGTGTTACATGGGTTTGGTTGAGTTATAAGAGTGACCCAAAATGACAGCAGTGCTCAATGGGGGTGGAAGCCACCTGTGAACCATCTGCAACAGGTAACACCAATGAGGACCAGAAGAGAGTTTACACATCAGTTAGCCGGAGCCTCAAAAGCACAACTGTTTTTATGCAAAGGTGAAGGAAGAATAGTGTGGGGGCTGCATAGGGCAAAGAGAAGCACACAGACCCCTCTTGCTGTGCAACAATGCAGTGACAGTGATGCTGCATAAAGTCGACAGAGACATCCTGGGCAGAGGTTGTACTGTGTCACCATGAAATGCTTCCCCAGGGAAAACCAGTCTTCGTTTTTAAGTCCTCAGTGGTGTTGCAATATCAACAATGTAGGCACTCTTTGGTTTTCAGCCCACCACACCTTGACCTTGAATCACTCTATTCATCCGTGAGACAAACTATAACGTAAAATTGGAAGTTTAGATAAATCAGGTTCAACTTTTTTCCCTGCCATACTTTATGCATTTATTTAAATGTCTCAGACAATGACCAGAGTAAGAACCTCAGCAGCAGTTATCACTCAAGTGTATTTGGTAGAAGAGTTAGTGTTAAATATTTCAAAGCTCTATTTAGAACAATCACATCATCCTAATGCATTTTATGGGACAACATAAAATATACACGGCTATTATGGAAGAATGAAACCTGACACAGAAACATGGAGCTGACCTGCCAGCTCTGGAACGAATGCAGAGACGAAGCCAACAACCAACGGGCGATTTAACAAGGACAGAAATGGCTTTATTAAAGGAATTTTCACTGTGTCCAAAGGACAAATGATTGATGTGCATATGGATTATATACATGGACACAATTTCTTTTCCTTAGCCCATATACTTTTCCTACTGGGAATTGCTGAGGATTACATTCAATAATTTTTAATATGTCTATATGTGTTAAACATGACTGCCTATATGTGTGAGTCATATATTAGGAATATTACATAAACTTGTATTCAGATAAATGGAATGTAATTTCGTATAATAAAGAGAAAGCACAGAACTAATAATTATGGGCCACTTTTATTCTTGTAAAAATGTAGAAATATAAGTAATGATAAACCAAAATGGAAAAATAACATAACAGCTTATGTCTTTAAAGTGATGCTGCTAAATGTATTTTCAAATAATGTGAAAAGTAAACTTACAGAGAAAATAAAAAGGTATTAAAGCCTGTGTTTAGAGAATGTACAGAAACAATCCTCCCCCCGACATATGTCCCCCCCCCCCCCCGTGACTGCTTTCAATGGCCTGGGCTGAGCAGAGCCTCTCAGCAACCGCTCCCTCCCGGGATGCAAAGGTGAAGCCACCCCCTCCACTCCGGCCGAGTGTGGGTCTGCAGCAGCAGCCACTGCATTTGGAGGTGGCGAGGGAACCTCCAGAGCCTGCAGGGCTTCCCCCAGGGAAAATCCAAGGCTGCCCCTCCTGCAAGTGGCAGACCTAGTTCCTGCCCCAGTCAGGGCCAGGTGGGAGGGTCCACTCAGTTGTGAAACGCTCCTTCACCCTGTCCTTGCTCAGGAAGGAGAAGCCAGGCAGAGGTGACCCACCGCCGTGGCCATCCTTGGTCACTCTCCCTGTGTGTGGCCGATCGCTCAACCTGCAAGTGTCAAACTCATGTCCTCTCTTCTAGAGTTTTCATTTTCTTCTGTTTCATTGTAATCTAGATCCCCTCTCCTTTAATTAGACACCAATACTTTTTTCAGGGACTGAAAAATAATTTCCTACAGCAGAAATAAGAGAATCGCCCAAAAGAACACAATTTTCCCTTGGAAGTTAAAAATAGGACTTCCTGAAAAATACCTGTGAAATAGAATTTTACGAGGAAGGCAGAAAGTGAGAGAAAGTCATAATAAAACCCTGATTTTTGAAACAGTACCCTCGCTGTGAGTGCATTTGATATATTGGTGAACAGAGGTGCATGGGCTGTCTTCGTCTTAGAGATTTCATGTTAGCGGCTCCATTTCTATAGAGCTGGCATCAGCCTCGGTCAGACATTAGAAGTTACCACCCAACGCAATCTGGCAGCAACATTTGAAAAGGGTCCGTTTCTTATAGGACCTTAGACCATGCGTGTTAATCCGAATAATTAGGTGTGCTGCTTTTTAAAAAATTCATACAGGTTACACTCAGAAATCTCAGTTACTTTTGGCCTTCGATTCTTGGCTGTACGGATATCTTCCTTCCTTTATGCGAGCAATTTTCACCCGCAACACAAGACGCAGGAGAAACCAAGGATGGTGGAGTAGCAGGGAAGACATGGCCTTTGATACAGAGTCAGCACGGTGTGTATCCTGGTCTGTCACCGACCAACTGCACCCTCTCTCCAAGCCTCAGAGAGGTTGCAAAGTAAAATCATTAAAGCTTCTCCACGTGGTCATTACGAGAATTAAATTGGGTAGTAGAGCCCCTGGCTCACAACAGATAGCCCATAAATGTTAAGCGCCCCCCCAACATCTCCCATTTCAGATACGCGATCTAGTGGGATTCTTCTGGGTCCCAAAGTGCCAGCAAATGAAGTAACGGGTATGTCTCGTACCGAACATGTATCTACCTTTGAGATTCTTTGTTGCCGATGATGGAGTCTCGCTCTATTATCAAAGTGCACAACATTCACCTGCTGATCAAATTGCAAAGGTTTGGAGGGTTTGTTAACTCGAGTGTCGGGTCCCATCTCTTAACTCCATATCCTTTAAGAGATACTGTGTTCAGTGAAGAAGTTTTAAGTGGCCTTGCAGGTGTCTATCTTGCCTGGTGGTCACATCTTTGAAGCAGGCACAGGTGACAAAGTGATGCTGGTGGGAATGGATCAGTCTTTCAAGACATTTGATGATTTCATAGTCAGGAAGAGCAAGGCTGGTCATGTTCAAGCCCAGCATCTGGGAAACCACCTCCCTAAAGTCCACCAGCTGGAATATCAAACAGAAACACGTTAACTGAGACAGCAAATGTCTCAGCTATCGCTGAGCCAAACGCCACCATGACAAAAACCACGGAAAACCCAGGTGGGCATGAAGCAGGTAAGTTACTTACTCCCCCTACCCTTAGTCCTCTCATTTACAAAATAAGAAGGCTAGCCTACTAAATTACCTCTAAAGTCCTTTCAGGCACCGACCTTCAGCAAGCTCCTAATCTATTTTCCGGGGAGCCAGTCAATGTGGTATCAGCTACCACGTCAAGGGTCCCGGTAAAAAACCACGCACGAGACTCTGACATCACTCAGACTTCATTCTACCCAGGATGGTTATAACCGTAGACCTGCCCCCAGGGCTGTTTGGAAATGCAGATCAAATGAAATGATGGCTGCGTGTGTGCTCTGCACTCTAGGAAGTGCTGGACAAAGGTCGTTGTGGCTGTGCCCATGGGTGGTAAGTGCTTACACATGAGCATTATAACTGGACAATGACCCTCAAACTAAAGGTAGAACAAATGGTGAACAAGAATGAGCTAATGAAAACTGGAGGGCTTCTAAACGATGCTCAAATCCCATCAGACAGATCGCCACCTCACAACCCATGGCACTGGAGTCTCTGGGACCACACACACACACACACACGTGCACACACACAGCTGAGGAGGCTGGGGGTAGGAACTAGAGACAACAGTGGAAATGCGCCTCACGCTCCCTCCATTTCTCATAGACTGGTTGGTGCAGAAGCAGATGAACCAGGGATAGCTAGGCAACACCTTGCTAGAGGGGCCTTCCATTTTTTTAAAGATTTTATTTATTTTGCTTTTTAGAGAGCAGGGAAGGGAGGGAGAAAGAGAGGCAGAGAAACACCAATGTGTGGTTGCCTCTCCCATGCCCCTAACCGGGGACCTGGCCCGCAACCCAGGCATGTGCCCTGACTAGGAATCGAGCCAGTGACCCTTCAGTTCACAGGCCAGTGCTCAGTCCACTGAGCCACACCAGCCAGGGTGGTGCCTTCCATTTCAGAAAAAGCATGATCCAGCCTGAAGACAACCGTTACATCCAAAACAGCCTTCCAAACTCTCCCTCCCTCCACAAGCTCATGCACTTCCCAACCTGCCTCCTAGCCAAGTCCAGTTTGGGAAATGTCATCCTTTTCTCCAGCCTAGTCTCCCTGATGAAAATGTTGTCCTCAAATTTCCTCGCCCTTTCGAATACGGTCAAAGCTCTTAATTTGGAGTGGTTTCTCTCTGAGAACACTCGCTTGTCGTCTGGCCTTCCTCAAGGCTGCCCGACACATGAGCCAGAGCAGGGGCAGCCAAAGAGAAGAAACAGCCTCGGATGGGAGTCCGCCCCGAGCCCATGGAGCATCAGGAGGAGTGAGATGAAAGCCAAGAGCGGCAGGGGTCAGGCTGCCCCACGCAGGCCCCTTTATGCCTGACCTCCCGATGTGCTCGCCAGATAACACTCTCCTTCCTGCAACCGGCAGGCGGACAAGCACTGTTTTACGGTTTACATCTGGCCTCGGTCAGCCCTCAAACCCAGGTGCCACCGTAGGAGATGCGGGACTATTTTCTGCACTCGATCTCTGCCGGAGATAAGGTTTATCCTGACCTCGGCTGGTGGCTGAAGCCATGGTGACCGACTGCGAGAAGGTGTGGGGTGACTCAACCTTCGGAGGCAACGCGCAGATGCAGAGCCTGGCTCCTCGCGGGCCCTCCGTTGCTCTGCTAAGAATGTCTTTCTTTCCTACCATTTGTGCCATGAAAACAGGAATTGCTTTTCTTAGCGGAGTAAATCATAATGGTTCTTTTAATGCCAAAAACACGCTAGACAGCAGGCAGAGACGTTGAAAAGACATAGAAAGCTCTTGTAAATTGTTTATGAAGTGAACAGTGATCAGGGTTTTGAGTTGGGCCATCTTTCCTAAGGGAGGAGATTTCATCATCGCGTTTCTACCCACCTGCTTTTCTCTCTTCTCTGCTTCTTCCAGAGACTTGTTCAGGGTCCTCACCTCCCTGGTTACCACCTCCATCACGTTGCTGGCCCTCTCTTTGTCCTCCTTGGCTGCACGCTCTGCCGCATGCAGTTCTGACTGGACCGACAACAGCTTTTTCTCAGCTTCCGCCTTCATCTTCTCCAGTTTGTCTCTGGATTTATTTAGGTCTTCGATGGCCTTGGTCTGTTCCAAAGTTTCAATCTAACGAGACAAGAAAATGCTGCTGATTTCTTTGGTATTCATTTAGGAAAACTTTATACACAAGTCAGAAGTCGACAGAGTTCACTTAGTAACATTTTCATGAATAAAGGATGAAATCCATTCCAATTATACAGACTTTGCCAAACATATGTGCTGGACAAACATGTCTTAAGGCAGTTATGATTTATAAACAACATATCAGAGTGCCATTATTTGGAAAATCAATGAGATACCATGGTATGTAGCATGATTCTGGGGTTAACTATTAAATACTGCTGGTACTTTCACACAGGCTCTCTGACCTTCCCATGCAAAAGCAACTTACCCTTTTTGCCCCCACCAATAGGTCATTCTGGGTCTATAGCAGTAAGGACAGCAAAATGTCTCCTCTGTTTCTGTTTTACCAGAGGGAAGCCCCACCTAAAATGCCCTCAGCAAGACTTCATCGTTGCTGTGAGGAAAATCTACATCAGCAGTTTCTCAGAAAAATGTCTTCTGACTTTTCCATGGGGCTGGGGGGCAGGAGACGGCCACTGTATTCCATCTCATGCCAGAAGGATGGCATGGGCCTCTCTCCAAGAAGCTGACCTGGGATCTTAAAGCTTAAAGCCCAGAGCATCCTGGATGTGAGGCACATTTTTTTTAGCTTAGTATTTCAAATTATACTAGATCTGCTAACAAAAAAGAATCTGAGTAAAAGGGATAAAATTCTGATACATACTAGAATTGGGATGAACCTTGAAGACATTATGCCAGGCACAAAGGGACAAGTTTGTATAATTGCACTATGGGAGCCACCCAGGACAGGCTAAGTCATGGAGACACAGTGCAGGACAGACGGTACCAGGTGCTGGGTGCACGAAGCGTCATTGTTTGATGAGCACAAGGTTTCAGCGGAGGATGACGGGAAAGATGACATGGAGATGCAGAGCAGTGACGGTTGCACAAACATGGTAAAAGTATACGTAACCCCACTGAACTGTCCACTGAAAATGATTAACCTGGTCGATTTTATGTGCAGTATTTCACCACAATAGAAAATTGAGGTATTTTACATAATTAGACCCAACACTGTTTTCAACCAAACTCATTTAAAAAAAAATATGAATGAGCTGCCACTTAGACACTGGGACAGCCACCGTCAAAAAGACGGACGATAACAAGTACCAGTGAAGACGTGGAGAAACTGGAACCCTCACATACTGCTAGTCCCAGTGGCCAACGGGGCAGTGGCTGAGAAGAACAGCTTGTGAGGTTTCAAATAGTTCAACGCAGAGCCAACGTACAATCCAGCAATTCCACCCCTAAGTGTATGTCTTGTATTCAAGAGAACTGAAAACCTAGGTCCACATAAAACCTGTACACAAATGTTCACAGCATATTCAAAATCACCACAGTGAAAACCCAAATATCTATGGAGTGATAAACAGATACATGAAATGTGTCCTACCCATAAAACAGAGTATTATTCAGCAATAAGAAGATTGAAGTACGGATTCAGACTACAACATGGATGAACCTTGAGAACATGATACCGCAGAGGAAAATCAGCCCTGGAAGACCACTTACTGGATGATTCCCTTCACATGAAAGACCCTGAAAAGGCCAGGCCTGCTGGGAGGAGAGGATGGAAGCAACTGCTAATGGGTACAGGGTTTCTCTTTGCAGGGAGGAAAATATTCGGAAATCAGACAGCAGTGATGTTTACACAACTCTGCCGACACACTAAAAGCCCCTGAATTATGCATTTCAAAGGGTGAATTTTATGATGTGAAGTGTATCTCAATAAAGCTGTTATTGGCAAGTGCATTTATAAAGGTCTTTAAAAAGCATAAAAATAAATTACTTTGAAACAAACACATAAGTGCATATGGAATGAACAAACAAAGAGCAAAGGAAGATCAGGAGACTGTGCATTTAGTTCTGAGCCTCCTAACAGTTCGGACAGGCGATAGGCATATTCTCAAAAACAAATGAACAAACCCATAACTTTGTTTTAAGTTTGTTGAAAATCATTTTTAAATTATGTACGAGAGTAATAAAATAAAATGAACCATGTAATGAGTGTTGGCTGCCTTCCCCCTTCCATCCATCCCTTCTTTCTAACCTAGGATGTCCACTTGCCTCATGGACGCCTCTCTCTGTTTGGAGGGCGGACGCTGGGTAATGGGGGGGACGTCAGAGAAGAAGAACCTGAGAGACTAAGTCTCAATTACAGGATAAAGAGAGGATGTAACGTAAATACTTGTAATATGTAATAGTTTACATATTAGGGACATTCTATGGATACAATAAACATCAATTTTTAAAACCAAGTTACCTCCCTTCACATGCAAACTCCTTGCTGCAGAGAAAATATGTGGCACACAGGGAAGTTGCTGGGATTGGTGTGTCGAATCCAAAATTGTGGATTAACAAAGAGGAGATACATTCAGCCCTTCTGCTAGGAACTAAAAAACATTTACAGAGGGCTCGCTACCAAAGGTGACAGAACACAGCTTGGAGAACGGAAAGCACACAAATCAAGTCTTAATGAGAAGAATCTATAGCCAAGAATCTCTGAAAAACAGGGGATTTTATCACAATCCTGATGGCTGCCCGAATTCTTGTTGTCAAGGAGCAAGAGTGAGTAATGGAGCTGGGAGCCAAGCCACCAGGACAGACTGGGAGCCAGCGGTGGCTGCTGATGGTGACGGGAAACCTGAGTTTTCTGAATCAAACCCAACCAGCAAGATTCCTGGGAGTGGGGCGGGGCTAAACCAGCTCCTTACGCTCCGTGGGGAGCTTCCCAGATCCCGCCTGGAGTTCAGTGACAGACTGTGTCCCTCAGGGTTGTTTGGTGGCACAGATCTGGTCATAAACAAGACTAATATGTCACCTAGACCCCCACAAGGATAGAGGAGGTTCCCATGATGTCTGCCTCCATGAGGGAAAGAATTTCAAAATCTGGTGAACTGTTCTCCCTTATGTTATAAAGTACAAAGGCCCTAAACAGAAGGTGATTAAATTTAAAAATTGTGTTGAGTGCCCCAGAGGACCTCAATTCTCCAGCTGGGAGTCTTTCAAGAGGCTGTACTGCAAATGCACGAGCCAGGCACCATGCACAGCAGGTGGGACAGCCACGTGGGAGAGTTTCGCCAGGGACCAAACTGACGCTGTGCCCTCTGAGAGAGCCACAAGGATTGAACCAGGAGGAAACTGGAGCAGAAATCAAAGGAAGGTGTTCCCCTTGGCCGTCGGAGCATTCCTCCACCCTCCAGCCACAGCAGGGTGTTCCACCTTCCGGTTCTGCTTGGCGTGCACATCCAAGGTCAGTGGATGCGTGTAATCAGAGCTGAGCCCAAGATGGCAGGTTAGGGGGAAAAGCTTTAAAAGGCTGCACTGGCTGAGTTGGAGAAGCAGCACGGAGAGCAGCTATCTTGTGTGGAGATTATCGATAGAGTCAGCAAGAGGGAGAGATCTCTGCTGGTGGCTGGAGAGTGTTCTTGATTCCCTGCTGGTGTCTCTTTGAGAGACTACAGTGAAGATAATAATGGCTTTCCATACATGTCTGGTTTTCTGTCTTCTGATTTGCGGCCACAGCTCCATACTAAGATTGGACCACGGGGCACAGGCATAAAGCTGATAGTTCTCCACCAAATACCTACTCTTCCTTTCGTTCATGCTGCCCAGAGTAAGGACACATTTCTCAGGCTGACTTTATCTGCGTGAGGTTCAGGGACTAAGTCCCAGCTGATGCAGATGTACAAAGTGGTGCTCAGGGCATCCTTCCTCCTTTCCTCCTCCCAGTGACTGGGATGAGGTTAGAGTCCCAGCAGCACTAACAGGTGCATTCGAATGCCACTGCCAGGATGGTGAAGTGGAAAGGATGCCGATGACCCTGGAGCGATCCCACTAGGTGAAATGTTTCCCTCCATGCTTTTTGGTCCAAAGGGAATAAATACCTCTCCTGTCTAAGTCACTGTATTATGGGTGGGGTGGGCGGGGGGTGGGGGGAGTGTTTAAATCTATTCAGCTGAAATTAATCATAACTGATGTAGGCTACAAAGCAACTGGCATTATATGAGTTGCACTAAGTGTCTTCCAGACCCTAAAAAGTTCTGCTGTACAGTTTCAGTGCCTACATTGTCACTGTGTAGAAGGCTGTTCGTGCCACTGAGTACAGTCCTACTTCAGTTACTGTAGGTTAAGGAGAAAAGAGCAAAGGCAGAGTGCATACGTTAACAATGCGTCCACACCATGTGAAGGCCAAACCACATCATGGTGTACGTGCAAAGTTTCTGCACTAATAAAATGATGTTCACGGTCCAATAATTACTCTGCCTTTAGGCAACTTAACCTATAGGCGTGTCAACCTCAAAAGAACCTGTATCAAAAGCAATCAGTACTGTATACTCTTATTAATGATGATTTTACAAATTGACACAATCTAGATTATTAAATTAATACTGCTAAGTTTTAAAGTGTGTTTTTATTCTTCACTTTATTTCTAAATTGGTTTGGACATTATAATAGTAAAAATATAGTAAGATTAAGAAATCTCTATATAGTGTTAAGTTTGTACATGTGTGAGCAATATTATAATAAAATCATTTTGACTGAACAAAGGGATGTGAAACCTACGAAAGAATATATTCCTTTCAGAAAGGGAGTTCTGCCATACTGAGGTTTGCTTGGCAACTTGAAATTGAATAGTTCGTCTGGAAAGGTCTGCTTTTTCCTGATCTAGAATTCAAGGGAAACTTACTTCATGGATCTTAAAGAGAGAGACTTCAATGACCCCGAAGTCACAGCCTTTGACTGTGGTTTTCCAGCAGATACATATATGCACACAGAAATTTACACACGAGTGTTCACAACTGCCTTATTCATAATATCCAAAAAGTGGAAACAATCCAAATGTCCATCAAATGCTAAATGGAAAAACAAAACGTGATGCATTCATACAATGAAATCTATTCAGCCATAAGAAGGAACTACGATGGTTAATTTTGTGTGCC